TTGCCAGTTTCTGAATTCTCTGTAAACTTTAAAAAGCCAGCAAAGGGCCGGGCACGGTGGCTCAAGCCTGTAATCCCAGCACTTTGGGAGGCCGAGGCGGGTGGATCACGAGGTCAAGAGATCGAGACCATCCTGGTCAACACGGTGAAACCCCGTCTCTACTAAAAATACAAAAAATTAGCTGGGCATGGTGGTGCGTGCCTGTAATCCCAGCTACTCAGGAGGCTGAGGCAGGAGAATTGCTTGAACCCAGGAGGCGGAGGTTGCGGTGAGCCGAGATCACGCCATTGCACTCCAGCCTGGGTAACAAGAGCGAAACTCTGTCTCAAAAACAAAAAAAAAAAAAAAAAAAAAAAAAAAAGCCAGCAAAGATGATGATGCTTTAAGATGGAGATTGGTTGTCTTCATTTGTGCCAGAAGTGTTTGTGTTGTGACAATAGTACAAAGTGTAAGAGACTTCGTGCCGTGCCTGCTTTCTCTAATGCTAATAATGAGCCTCGGGGAGCAACGTCAGCATTAGCAGGGGACTTACTGAAAACACTCATTTATTGGCTCTTTCCAAACCTGTAGAGTCACACTACATAGAGCGGGACCAAAATTACCAAGTAATTGTAAGCTCATTAAAGCTTGAGAGGTAATTCATAGTTAAGTGGTTCTAAGTTTAGGTTGCTAATTAGAATCAAACAGCTAATTTGCAAAAATCTCTTTACTGGTGCCCTTTCTGTCATAGGTTTTGATTAATGTTCTGGGTGGAAGCATTCATGCTGTTTTTTTGGTGGTGGTGGTGGTGTTTTTTGTTTGTTTGTTTGTTTTTTGTTTTTTTTTTTTTTTTTTTTTTTTTTTTGAGACGGAGTTTCGCTCCTGTTACCCAGGCTGGAGTGCAATGGCGCGATCTCGGCTCACCGCAACCTCCGCCTCCTGGGTTCAGGCAATTCTCCTGCCTCAGCCTCCTGAGCAGCTGGGACTAGAGGCATGCGCCACCATGCCCGGCTAATTTTTTGTATTTTTAGTAGAGACGGGGTTTCACCATGTTGACCAGGATGGTCTCGATCTCTTGACCTCGTGATCCACCCGCCTCGGCCTCCCAAAGTGCTGGGATTACAGGCTTGAGCTACCGCGCCCGGCCTGTTTGTTTGTTTTTTAAAGAGAGGGTTTCACCATATTGGTCAGGCTGATCTTGAACACCCGACCTCAGGTGATCCACCCGCCTTGGCCTCCAAAGTGCTTGGATTAGGCATGAGCCACCATGCCCAGCCCATGCTGTTTTAATTAGTCTCATGTGACTGTAAGTTGTGGCCAGAATCAAATATAGGGGGTTCAAGATACATTTGTGAGAGTTAAGTTTCACTTGTTCTCTAAAGGGTGGTCTTAGAGCCCCTTTTCTTTGGGTTTCATAGAGATGGCAATGTGGCTTATAATTTCTTTAGTGTAGGAGAAATTGCTGGCAGGGGAGGGCAACCAAGAAAAGGAAAGGAGAAACATACATTTTTTACCTATGGAGCAGCTTATTGTTTCTGAATCTCTTCTGTTACAAAGTACAGAAATGGCTGAAGTTTTTCGGTCTTGGTTCTTCTGCCTATGGGTGTGGTGGCAGCTGGTAAACATGTGGTGCTGATGCCATTCAAAGCATATTCTCAAGTTGCAGGTGTAATTTGTCCAGATAATCTTATCTGAGAAGAAATCCTAGTGAAGAAGAACAAGAAAAAAATGGCTTTCTTGATAATGAATTTTTTTTAGATGGAGTTTCACTCTTGTTGTCCAGGCTGTAGTGCAATGGTGTGATATCAGGTCACTGCTAATTCCACGTCTCAAATTCAAGTGATTCTGCTGCCCCAGCCTCCCAAGCAACTGGGATTGCAGGCTACCACATATGGCTAGTTTTTACAGTTTTAGTGGAGACAGGGTTTCTCCATGTTGGTCAGGCTGATCTGGAACTCTTGACCTCAGGTGATCCAGCCACCTCGGCCTCCCAAAGTGCTGAGATTACAGAGTGAGCGACCATGCCCAGCAATGATGAAATACTGAATCCTTATTTTATTTTAAAGTTCCAGAATACATGTGCAGAATGTGCAGGTTGATTACATAGGTTTATGTGGGCCATGGTGGTTTGCTGCACATACTGATCCATCATCTAGGCGCCCTCCCTTTCCCCCACTTTACAACAGGCCCTGATGTGTGTTTCCCTGTGTCTATGTGTTCTCATTGTTTTTTTTTGTTTGTTTTCTTTTGTTTTGTTTTTTTGTTTTTTTTTTTGAGACGGAGTTTCACTCTTGTTACCCAGGCTGGAGTGCAATGGCGCAATCTCGGCTCACCGCAACCTCCGCGTCCTGGGTTCAGGCAATTCTCCTGCCTCAGCCTCCTGAGTAGCTGGGATTACAGGCGCATGCGCCACCATGCCCAGCTGATTTTTTGTATTTTTAGTAGAGACGGGGTTTCACCATGTTGACCAGGATGGTCTCGATCTCTTGACCTTGCGATCCACCCGCCTCAGCCTCCCAAAGTACTGGGATTACAGGCGTGAGCCACCGCGCCCGGGCCTGTTCTCATTGTTCAACTCCCACTTGTGAGTGAAAAGATGAGCTTTTTGGTTTTCTGTGACTGTGTTAGTTTGCTGAGGATGATGACTGCAAGCTTAATCCATGTTCCTGCAACGGACATAATCTTATTTCTTTTTATGGCTGCATAATATGCCCTGGTATATATGTACCATGTTTTAATTATCCAGTCTTATTGTGATATGGCTGGCTTAGAGTTAGAACTTGAGCAATGCCATTTTGTGGAAGACAAAGCTATTTTCCAAAAATAAGTTGTAACGACTGCCCCGTTCTCCTTGCAATAACTGCTGACCTTGGCTTCTGTAAAGTTGCTTGCCTTTACTTATCAGTAACTGCCAGAAGTGCTTGCCTTTGCTCATCAGAAAGTGCTGAAAAGTTGCTTGCCCTGCATACCCTCACCCTCTTGGTCCTAAATCCAGGATGTGGTTTTTCAGCTTAAAACCCCCCGATCCCCCTGAGCTGGGAGCCACAGGTTGGAGAGATGTGAGTCCTCTGTGGTTGCCAGCATAATAAACGACCCTGCAATTTGGCATACTTTTGTCTTGGTGTAAATATTTTAATCTCGCATTTCAATACCTCATTATTGATGGACATTTGGGTTGGTTCCATTTCTTTGCTATTGTAAATAGTGCTGCAATAAACTATTACATACATGTCCATGTGTCTTTATAGTAGAATGGTTTGTATTCCTTTGAATATATTCCCAGTAATGGGATTGCTAGGTCAAAATATGTTTCTGGTTCTAAATCCTTGAGGAATCACCGCATCGTGTTCCATGATGGTTGAACTAATGTACATTTTCACCAACCGTGTAAAAGCATTCCTATTTCTCCACAGCCTCACCAGCATTTATTGTTTCTGATGTTTTAATAATCACCATTCTGACTGGTGTGAGATGATATATCATTGTGGTTTTGATTGGTATTTGTCTAATCATCAGTAATGTTGAGCAACTTTTCATATGATTGTTGGCTGCATAAATGTCTTCTGAGAAGTGTCTGTTCATTTTCTGCCCACTTTTTGATGAGATTGTTTGTGTATTTCTTGTAAATTTTTAAAAGTTTCTTCTGGATATTGGACCTTTATCAGATGAATACATTGCAAAAATTTTCTCCCATCATGTAGGTTGCGCTTTTGCTCTGATGATTGCCTTTTCTGTGCAGGAGCTCATTAGTTTAATTAGATTTTATTTGTCAATTTTGGCTTTTGTTACAATTGCTTTTTGTGTTTTTGTCATGAAGTCTTTGCCAATGCCTATGTCCTAAATGGCATTTCGTAGGTTTACTTTTTCTTGTGTTTTGCTGTTGTTGCCCAGGCTGGAGTGCAATGATGGAATGTTGGCTCATCGCAACCTCAGCCTTTTGGGTTCAAACAATTCTCCTACCTCAGCCTCTTAAGTAGTTGGGATTACAGGCACACACCACCATGCCCGGCTAATTTTTTTGTATTTTTAGTAGGGAAGGGGTTTCTCCATGTTGGTCAGGCGGGTCTCAAGTTCCCAACCTCAGGTGATTTTTCCACCTCGGCCTCCTAAAGTGCTGAGATTACAGGCATTAGCCACCATGCTCAGCCTCCTGGGTTTTCTTCCAGGATTTTTATGGTTTTGGGTTTTACATTTGAGCCTTTAATTCATCTTGAGTAAATATTTGTAGAAGATATAAGTGAGAGGCTCCGTTTTAATTTACTGCATATGGCTAGTGAGTTTCTTCAGGACTATTTATTGAATAGAGAATCCTTTCTCCATGGCTTGTTTTTGTCAGGTTTGTTGAATATCAGATAGTTACAGATGTGTGGTGTTATTTCTGAGGTCTCTTTTCTGTTTTCTTGGTCTGTATGTTTGTTTTTATACCAGTACCATGCTGTTTTGGTCACTGTAGCCTTGTAGTATAGCTTGAAGTCAGGTAGGCTGATGCTTTCATCTTTGTTGTTTTTGCTTAGGATTATTTTGGCTATACGGGCTCATTTTTGGTTCCATATAAAATTTAAAGTAGTTTCTTTTTTCTAATTCTGTGAAGAATGTCAGTGGTAATTTGATGGGAATTGCATCGAAGCCATAAATTACTTTGGGCAGTATGGCCACTTTCATTATGTTCATTCTTCTTTTCTTTTTTTGAGGTGGCATTGCTCATGCTGGAGTGCAGTGACATGATCTCAGCTCACCACAACCTCTGCCTCCTGGGTTCAAGGAAGTCAAGCGGTTATCCTACCTCAGCCTCTCGAGTAGCTGAGATTATTGGCATGTACCACCATACTCGGCTAATTCTGTATTTTTAGTAGATTCAGGATTTCTCCGTGTTGGTCAGGCTGGTCTCAATTTCCTGACCTTAGGTGATCCATTCACCTCAGCCTCCCAAAGTGCTGGAATTACAGGCGTGAGCCTCCACACCTGGCCTGATGTTCTTTCTGTCCATGAAAATGGAATATTTTTCCATTTGATTGTGTGCTCTCTTAGTTAAGCAATGGTATGCAGTTCTCCTTGAAGAGGTCCTTCCCATTCCTTGTTAGTTGTATTTCTAGGTATTTTATTTTTGTAGCAGTTGTGAAGTTCATGTACTATTTGGCTCTGTGTTAATTGTTGGGTTATAGGAATGCTTGTGACTTTTTTATTTTTAGTGGAGATGGGATTTCATCATGTTGGCCAGGAATGGTCTTGATCCCTTGATGTCATTATTTGCTTGCTTCAGCCTTCAAAAGCGCTCGGCTTACAGGCGTGAGCCACCACGCCTTGTGAATCTGATGTTTCTTTATGATTAAATTCACACTATTAGTTACTCTTGAGGGGGCAGTGATGCTGTGTCCTGTGTACCTCAGCACATTATAGAAATGTGTCTTCATGCTAATAACCCACTTAGTTAATAAGCTTTGTGACAGATTTCTTTCTCTATTGAGTTAATTGTTTTTCTCTTCATTATTAAGTATCTTTATGCAGCTGATGTGGATAAACAATCACTTTTAATCTGGTAGCTGCCCTTTCTTAGGTTTTCGTTGCATTTATCTGTCTTTGGAAAATGAAAGCCCTCATCTTTGTTTGCAGCCTAGAAAAACTGAAAAATGCACGGGCTCGTTCACTTACTGGATGTTTGACAAAATAGATTTCTTTTGCCAAAAACATTGGCATTAGTGGTGCGCTTGTTTGAGATTCAGAAACTCAGATTGTATTCCAGATTCTCTGAATAAATAATCTGCATTAATGTCTTCAGTTTATTGTACACATTCAAATTTCAGCAGTACTTTCTAACTCAGTATGTCTTTTCCATCTGAAAAGTTTACACAGTTCATTCTGTATGATGTAAATATAGCACTCAAAAATGTACATGTTAGTGTTTATGCCCTCAGTTTTCTACCTCATTAACCAGAAAAGTACCATCTATATGTTGATGTTGTAGACCTTATGCCATTCTCTTTTCTCACAGTTAGAGAATACCTTAGAGAATATTTCTGTGTTGAAAATTATTTACTAGATATTGCCAGTCACTCTTGTAAGTAAGAAGCAGCTATCTTTAATTTTGTTTTACCTTGAGTCAAATTAAAAATTCTGCTCATTTTCCATTTGTTTAATATGTATGTGTGCGTGTATTTTTCAGGGAGCTTTGACATTTAGGGATGTGGCCATAGAATTCTCTCGGAAGGAGTGGCAATGCCTGGACACTGCACAGCAGAATTTATATAGAACTGTGATGTTGGAGAATTACAGAAACCTGGTCTTCCTGGGTGAGCATGACTTTAATATGCAATTTAGTAATATATCCTATAAGTTTCTTTTCTTTTTTTTCTCTCTCTCTTTGTTTTTTTTGTTTCTTTCTTTTTTGTAGAATGATTTTTGGTAATTTTTGCTTTCAGATCTGTTAAAAAAAAAACTGCAAGGTTTGTCTAATAAAAAAGAATTTTAGAATGTTTAATTTTGATCTGAACTTTCCACATTCCTGAGCTAATCTGTGTGCTTCACTCTCAATTAGTGTCAAGTTTAGAAATGTAGTGGCGTAACATTCTGTTTATTACATCTTAAAATTTGATTGCCACTACTTTTTGATTTAGTAGTACCAGGTAGTGAAATTACAAACTTACAATATTAAAATGGGTTTTAAAATATTTTGTTATGGCCTGGCGTGGTGGCTCAAGCCTGTAATCCCAGCACTTTGGGAGGCCGAGGGGGGTGGATCACGAGGTCAAGAGATCGAGACCATCCTGGTCAACATGGTGAATCCCCGTCTCTACTAAAAATACAAAAAATCAGCTGGGCATGGTGGCGCATGCCTGTAATCCCAGCTACTCAGGAGGCTGAGGCAGGAGAATTGCCTGAACCCAGGAGGTGGAGGTTGTGGTGAGCCGAGATCGCGCCATTGCACTCCAGCCTGGGTAACGAGTGAAACTCCGTCTCAAAAAAAAAAAAGAAATATATATATATATATTTATTTATATATAATACATATATATATAAATAAATATATATATATATTGTTATATATTAGTAGTTTAGAATTATTTTACTAAAATATTTTATTACATTCTTTTTACTGAGCACACTACTAAGTTGGTGTTGGAGACTATGAACAAGATTCATAAAATTTTTAATAAAACAGGTATTGCTGCTTCTAAGCCAGACCTGATCACCTGTCTAGAGCAAGGAAAGGAGCCTTGGAAAGTGAAGAGACATGAAATGGTAGCCGAGTCCCCAGGTAGGTGAAAGTGAAAGTGAGTACAACAGAAGCCTCATAGAAACATGTCCTGTCTTATCTTTTTAAAATCTCTAAGATTTTACTTTTCCTTCAGGGATCTTCCTTTGCATTTAAAGTGACAAGCAAAGTCCTCTTCATGGCGCACAAGAGACTGCAAAATCCGATTGCTCTCTCATTTTTTTTGAAAATCAGATTTCTGCATAATTTGGGGAAGCTTTATATGTTAAACTGCTTTTTAAGCTCTCTTTTTACATTATGTCTAAAATGTGTGAGAGTCGTGGTTACTGTTCTATTATTGTTATTATTACCTTTTTGAGATGGAGTTTTGCTTTTGTAGCCCAGGCTGGAGTGGAGTGGTGGGATCTCAGCTCATCACAACCTCTGCCTTCTGGGTTCAAGCAATTCTGCTGCCTCAGGCTCCAAGTTAGCTGGAATTACAGGTGCCCGCCACCACACCAGGCTAATTTTTGTATTTTTAGTAGAGACGGGGTTTCCTCATGTTGGTCAGGTTGGTCTCAAAC